CTGTAATAACAAAGTCCTGCAGAAGTCTACAGAAGCCAGTCTATAAACGTATTGGTCAGTTTTGCAAGGATTCAGGTCTTCTCCTAATCAGAGGGAATTTCTTTCTCAGTGATTGGGTCCAGATAAGCTACTTTTCTAAACTATTCACATTTATTTAGCTTCTAGCACAGATATAGGCAGCTTAACCTTATCACAAAATTATTCAAGTGTTTTAATATCTACCAGGAAATCCAATAAGAGGCTGTGATAGGTAGTTAACATAAAACCCTGTCCACTTGTTTTTCAAATATGACCAAAAGCTTTCTTTTCAAATTGCCATCTGGGTCTTCTCTTTTCTGTTCATTCAACCTATTTTCCTTGCAAATAACCACATGTGAAGAACCCAAATTGAATTGCGTATGGCTTCCAGAATATATTGCTCATTTGCAGTATGCGGTAACAGCCATAAATAAATTTCAAATAATTTTCTATAGTTCACATGAGAACCAATGTAGTTATGTATTTTTTACCTAAATCTATGTTCTAGGACTAAGTTCTTCATGCATTTCCTCACACATTTTCTCTTCTCTCTTTTCTGCTGGTAAGTGGTGAGAATGCTACTTAATCTTGTATCCTGCAGTATCAATGATACACTCCACCGGGTTAGTACAACCTGTTCTGTATAAGAGAATGGGTTTCTAGGCAGACCACTCTACCTCCTTACATTGCAGCAACTTGAGTTTTCAGTTTTGTGTCTCAACAAACCCAGAAGGCATTCTGGAAGAACATGTTCATCTGGTTTTCTCTTAAACTTACTTTATTTCAAGTCTTAACAAGGCCCTCCAGTTCATGTTTTGCTACTATGCCTTTTTACTGTTTGCATCTCATTCAAAAAAAGCCAAGCAAAGCAAACAGGTCTCCAATATTGTTGCTTTAGATACAGAAAAGGTTTGCCTGAGGCTGCAAGTCATATACAATCTATCCCTCTTTATCTTTTTCTGGAACACTATTCTTGGCTATCACACTGGCGATGGTCCCAGAAGTCTGTCCCCAGATGCAGGATCATTCATCACTGAAAACAGTCTTGTCAACTTCTTGTTTGACCTGATGCACATTTTTAAAAAGATTTGCCTCAGAAATAATTTATAAGATACCAACTGTGCCTTTATATATATAGGAAACCTAAGCAAGTATTCTTAGCAGGTATTTCTTGATATTCCTTCTTAAGTTCTAGCAGTGCACATTTCAAATCCATTTCTCAGTAAATTCCTATTTCCTATATATTTTCCTTCACTAACTCCTAGTGTTACACAAGAATTAGTGTAACAAATTCTTCCTCAGCACACTTGGTTTTTCTCAAGTTTCTTAACGCATTCTGTGATTTATGCTCACCTAGCAAATGTTACAAATAGTCGCTAGCCTCACAGCTATACTTGCTGTGATTTGCCAAGAATGTAAAAGTGCCAATCAGGTTTTGCTTTGATATCCTTTTAAATTGGGTATTTGCTTAGGATATGTTGACATACCCAGCAGCAAGCCTTATGTTTGTAAATATCTTTCTGGGTTCTGAGCATTTTTTATTTTTTTTCTTCAGAATACTAGCAAATAATTGAACTGTTTTCCTTACCTTTTGCATTACTGCTGATTTCCTGTGTTTTAAATACTGATGATTGTTCCAGACATGTCTGGCAAATGTCATCACCTACTTTAGAATTGCCCTGTTCAACCAAATGTTTTAGAAACAGAGCTATACTCATAGGCCCTAGGGCAGTCAATTTGTCCTTTTCCTGGTATCGGCAGCTTTTTTTTCCTCATGAGCTGTTTCAAAAATTGTTAAAACTCTATGGCAAATTCCAGAGTTTCTGAGTATGTCTTTGGTTTTCTTTTGTTGATCTTCACTTCAGTGTTGAAGCCAATTTATTTTAGGAGTCTTCATTTGTATCAAGCATGCCGAAAGCTCAACTTTTTACACATTCTACCTGTTTCTTTTCTGTCCAGGATCTTCTGGCAAGGTCAAGCTGGTGGCTGTCTTCTAACAGCCTGTACAGTCTCTTTTCTGGATGTAGATTTCGAGTGTCTGCAAAATTATATGAGTCAAATTTGATGTAACAGATAGATACATATCTCCTGAGCCAGTGATTGTGATATTGATGCTAAACTGGGCTAAACTGGCCATCCAAACAATATTACAACATTTTGCATTGATTTGTATGAGCAGAAATGACTCAAAATACCTTCAAAGTAGGCAACTCTTGGAAATTACCTGTTATTTCTTATTGTTTCAGCCGTAGCTGACTTCTACTGAGCTGTGAAGTTTTAATGTTTCTCAGTGTTTTTGTTTGTCTCCTTAAGTCATTGTTTTAACTAACTTCACTGCTTTGCTGTGTGATGAAAAATCAGGCTGCTTATTCAAGATCCCAGATCTGCAAGTGAAAAAGAACAGTTGGTCAGACAGATGTTTATCTTTTATCTTTGGAAATGCATATGTTTAATAGCATAAAAATATTTCACAGAAATGTTCTTGTAAGCATAATTGTGAAGGAAAAGTAATCAAAACATTTGTTTCAAGTTCAAAATTTCTTGTAAAACTGATAAAATTCTGAAGGCAAAACAGTAAAATTGAGTAAGTACTTTTATTTCTTTCAAGCCAAGTATTTCTATATAGTATTTCAAATAAAGGGAAAATCTCTGAAGGTATATTGTCACTGTTTTTCTATTGTAGCTGTAATCTGAATAATCACTTCTATCCCAAGCTTCTTGTTTTGCAAAACTTATTCCTGTAAATGCAGTAGCTTACCTTCTACCTCAAGTTTTCTTTAGGTGCCCCACAATCCATTTCTATGTTTTTGTTGTCCTTTAGGTGTCTATAATCAAGGAATGAAACACAGTATGATACTATTGCAGTTCTCATTTTAGAGTCTTGCTGTTAACTCAGGGCAGATGCAATCATTATTATGGCAGACTTACTTTACCACTTCTATTGCTCATAACTAATAAACTGTGATATGGGGCCATATTCATTTTCCTCACCTTTGGAAAGGAGATTGCCTGGCTCACAGACAGCAAGAAGGCTTCGGAAAGGAAAACTAGCCGTGTACCTAATCCCAATAAATTTCCTACAAACTGAATGCAAACTTTTCTGTGCATCTCTTCCAGTAATAAAGTGAAAGGTATCAGGCATAATTCACTAGATCATGTGGGTTTTGAGATACCTGTCAACTCATGTCTGAATTTTTAATCAGAGTATATAAATCCACATGTTTATGGCACCACAAGATATTCAGCAGTGAAAAAACAGGTACACTACCCAGGCTGAATTGAATATTTCAAAACTTATGATTGTCTTATTTACATCTTGGTACAACAAAAGAACAGATTTTTTTCATCTGATAATTAAATTTTGCCTTTCTTCTGCAAATACTCATTTTCCCTCCCAGCAAAGGCATTGTATCTTACTGCTAATACTGTTAAACACATCCATATTTCCCTCTTGGACACTGCATACATTTCACAACAATACCCACCTTTGAGTTCATGAACATTTGATAGAAATAGTAGTAGATTGGGAAAATGAAAAACAAGAAGATAAAAGTTTACCTGAAACCCATTAAATACTTTCAGAGAACATCTTTCTAGCATGGAAGGAAAATATGTACGTTTGGGAAACATACAGGAGCGTGTGTCACAAAGATGGAGGGAAGAAAGAAAAGGAAGGATGGAAGGAAGGCAGGGAGGAATGGAAGAAGGGATTTCAAGGACAGATGGAAAGAATAAGGACAGAAAGAACAGAAAAGTTGAGAAAGGGAAGTGAGGGCAAAGAAAGCAAAGGAAGGAAGAAATTAAAAGGAAGGGAAAGGATGGAGGGAAGGAAAAACTTTGGGGTGCAGTCGCTTGTGCTGTTCCTGCATTTCTGAGAACCTGGAGACCTGTAATTAACTGAATACTGATTTTATTCTTTCATGAATAAATAAAAGATCCTTTCCTCGGAAAATACAAGCTACACATGTTTTGACAGATCCCTTTAGTTCACTACTGAAAACATCAGCCATGTATTTGCTATTAAAAGGTATCAGAAAGGAAATATTTTTAAGACACGAAAGCCCTTTCTAAAGTGACAAATTGTAAGACAGAATAAGAGGCTTTAGAGGAGAGGTTTTAATACTCACTTTCAACAGAGCTGAAAACATTTGGTAGGGTTTGGTATTGTTTCCTCCATTATCTGTATGGTCAGAATTTCATTTAATTTAAATAGCTTTTTGCATAACATAGAAGAACATGTCTCCCTTGGCCTCTGAAGAAGCCAGCTTCACAAACACAAAGCTTGCTGCTGCTGCAGCGTGGGAACCAGCTGGCAGTTTGGGTTTCTAAAAAGGTCTCAGGGCTGCGTCCAGCTGAAGAGCCTGCCTTTGCTCAAGAGGCAAAATGGAGAGCCATGGACCTTGGAAGATGGATAACTTTTGGATACATGCGTCTGCATTAAATCAGACCTGAAAACAGAATGTCTTCCTCAGTATACACCCAACATAACTGCCACGAAAAGTGTTATTTGAAAACAAATTGGAGCACGCAACTCCCTTCTGCCAGCCCAGGGGCATGCAGTCCTCCATACAAGGTCTGTGGCTACAGGCATGCCTTAGTAAGAGAGGGGAACTTTCCTGGTTCCTAGTTTTGGGGCTGAGCAGAAAAAATGAGCACTTAGAGCTATATAAATTACATGGAAATAGCTGCTGAATACTGTTTCCTCCTTACAATGTCTTTGTCTACCTATAATTGCCAACAATGTGAAACAAAATTATGCCATCTAGTTCGGCAGTTGCACAGACTTGTCAAGAAATGTTGGCACCAGATTACCCGGGAACTCCCTGTAACTACGCCCTTGCAAACAACATAGGTATGTCTTTGACACTGGTGCAGACAGGCAGAAAAGCGGTGTTTGCAATACTCCCCTGGAGTCTCCACTTTGCTGGCATCATGGCTGGCTCAGATGGGGCTCCCGGGCTACCTGATCTGCACAACAGGCTATGACTGTGGGAGAATCCGACAAGTCTGAGCAAAATGTTACTAAATCTCATCTGCTTCTTCCTCTGCACTCTGATTGCATCAAATTTCACAGGTAAATGGCTAAAATATCTTCTGTTGACTTAAGATGAAGGGGCTGTCCTTTTGTTAAACATACTGCTACAAAACTGAAGTCAAATAGTATGAGGTCAGGTACTGAATTTTAATTCTTTCTCTAAAGTTAATACTAGAATAAGCAAATGAAAAAGGCAATACACAAATTCTGCATTCTGCAAGTCAATTCTGAAATCTAAAGGGGAGTCTCAGTTTGAAGGATATTCGTAATATTGTAGTTTTGTCTGCTTTTTTGCTGTTCTGTGAGAAGCTGAACTTTCAAGTCCTCTTAATGCTTATCAGTTTGAGCATGGGGGATGCGCCACCTGTGGAGTAGATGTAGGGTCAGAGAGGAAGGGTATAAAGTGCTAATAGCTCAAAAATGTTCATTGAAGGTCTCTTTACCCTGAAAGGAGGCTGTGCAATTTGTGTTCTGCTTCTCCAACTAAATGCTAAGCTCCAAACCCACCTCCTGAAAGGAGTTCGACCTTGGATCTCCTGACTATACTTCAGTGTCTTTATGATGGTCAGTCCTCTAGAAAACAAACGTGACTGGCCAGTGTGCCTGGATTTTGCTCAGTTCTGTCTTTCTTTCTAGATGTGCCATCTTAGCTTCTGAATTAAGGTTGTGTCTTGCTCCATTCTGTTCTCTGCCTCAGAAAAACAAAAATAGTTTTAAAGCTTTCTTGGCCAACAAAACACAACAAAACATCATTAGTTATAGTTCCTTGTTGCTGGGTATTGAAACCACTGACTCAGCATCAGGTTGCTTATGCTCTCAGTTTCTTCTGTGGAATACAGATGATTATGACAAATGCTTTTTAGAAGCTGCCAAATCAGGGCTGCCGTTCTTTAAAGAAGTTTAGTTTTTTTTTTATTGTGTTTTTCTTTAAGACCTAGCTAGCTGTGTGATGTTTCTGCACAGGAGCCATGTTGCCTCTGTACGTAGTGACTGCCAGCCTGGCTCAGCTGCTTACTCATGCAATTTTGTCTTCTACACTGTGACAGACAGTAGGAGAAAAAGATGAGATAACTTACACTGTGTCCCCCATTCTTTTGGCCTTGACCTGAAATATGAAAGTTTGTGTCGTAGTCTGCTTGTTGAGCAAAGAACATGTTGACTGAATGTTTATGTCTAAACCTGCCCCTGTGATTGCGCAGAGGTTGCGACAGGTCAGGAGACGGCATGTTCGTGTCTAAGCCTGGGAGTCCAGGCTTTGTATCCCATGTGATGGGAAGAAAAACAGGCAAGGGGGTACATACTGACTGTTTGCAGTCAGTTTGTGCAATTGGGATGTGAGAGAGGGGATGTTCCTGGAGTTGTCAGGTTAGAGGTACATCCAAAGATATTGTTTGGCATGATTTATTGTTGTTGTCTAAAATGCTTTCATTTTCACCACTCAGCTTGCATAGAAATTTCTTTAGCTTCATGGGGTGTTACAGACATTTTTTTCTCATCACCAATATTTAGAGTTCAGAATTCCCTTTTCAGATTCTCGTTCACTGAAGTTTCCTCATTGTCGTGGTTTAAACCCAGTCAGGTAACTTGTTCACTCACTCCCAGTGAGTGGTGCCAAGCTGACAACAATCAAGGTCCGTGTTCGTCTCCCCCCCCCTCCCTGCACCGGGGCTCTCCCCTTCCCCGCTCCCGGAGGAACGGGGAGGAGGATCGAGAGAGTGCAACTCCTACGGGTTGAGACAAGAACAGTCCAGCAACAAATCACTACCGCTACTATCAGCTAAAACAATGATAAGGGAAAATAACAAGGGAAGAGAATACGATACCACCGGCCAAGAAAACGAGTTCCACCCGGAAGCTCCTGTCCTTCCGGGCAACTCCCAGTTACCCCCCACCCCGGGCATGACGTGCTGTGGTATGGAATACCTCCCCGGCTAGCCCGGGTCAGGCGCCCCGTCTCTGCTTCCTCACAGCTTCCCCTCCTCCCTGGCAGAGCATGAGCCTCACAAAGTCCTTGGTCAGGGTAAACATCACTTAGCAACAACCGAAAACATCGGCTTCACCAACGCTGTTCTCAAAACTAGAAGTCAAAACACAGCACTGCACCAGTTAACACAAAGGAAAAAAACATGACTGCTACTGCTGAACCCAGGACATTATCCACCCCTTATTCCATACCATTCACGTCGTGCTCAGATCCCACATTTTCAATACACCATCGCTCTCCCACATATATACATCCATATACATACAGACCAAGAGGAAAAAAAAATCATTTTCTTAGTGCATGGACCAATCCCTATAATGCTGCCGAGTCCATTCGGTCCATGATGTTCCAAGTTCATTCTCTGTTGGGATGATGGCTGGAGGGAAGTCAGGGCCAGTCGCTGGTGACCTGGAGACATCTAGTTGATGGGCTATAAAAGCATTACACAGCAGGCAACAGCATACAATTGAGTTCACTGGCTGTTTTCCCCTAATATCAAATCCCCTTGAGGTATACATCAGACTTCCCCATCTTCCCGCATTACCCACCAAGTATATCCAGGTCCCTGAGCAAAAGCAATCCCACGAGTGGGTTTGCCTTTACCTGAAGCAGGAATAACCCAGACTGTCTTCCCCAGCAAATTCTTCATATGCACCACGGGAACTCTGTCCCCCTCTACAATATGTAAAAGTTCTGACTGGGCTGGGCCAGCCCTGTTGGCAGATCCTCTGGTGTTGACCAACCAGGTGGCCTTTGGTAAATGTGTATCCCAATGCTTGAAAGTTCCCCCACCCATCGCTCTCAGTGTAGTTTTTAACAGCCCATTGTACCGTTCGATTTTCCCAGAGGCTGGTGCATGGTAGGGGATGTGATATACCCACTCAATGCCATGCTCTTTGGCCCAAATATCTATAAGGTTATTCCGGAAATGAGTCCCATTGTCTGACTCAATTCTCTCTGGGGTGCCGTGTCGCCACAAAATCTGTTTCTCAAGGCCCAGGATGGTGTTCCGGGCAGTGGCATGGGGCACAGCGTATGTTTCCAGCCACCCGGTGGTTGCTTCCACCATGGTAAGCACATGGCGCTTGCCTTGGCGGGTTGGTGGCAGTGTGATATAGTCAATCTGCCAGGCCTCCCCATATTTATACTTCAACCATCGTCCTCCATACCAAAGAGGCTTTAACCGCTTGGCTTGTTTAATTGCAGCACATGTTTCACACTCATGAATAACCTGGGCAATAGTGTCCATTGTTAAGTCCACCCCTCGGTCACGGGCCCATCTATATGTTGCATCTCTGCCCTGATGGCCTGAAGTGTCATGGGCCCACCGGGCCAAAAATAATTCACCTTTATGTTGCCAATCTAAGTCCATCTGAGCCACTTCAATCTTAGCCGCTTTATCCACTTGTTGGTTGTTCTGGTGTTCCTCAGTGGCCCGACTCTTGGGTACATGGGCATCTACATGACGTACCTTCACCACCAGATTCTGCACCCGGGCAGCAATATCTTTCCACAGTGCAGCAGCCCAGATGGGTTTACCTCTGCGTTGCCAGTTGCTCTGCTTCCATTGCTTCAACCACCCCCACAGGGCATTTGCCACCATCCATGAGTCAGTATAGAGATAAAGTACTGGCCACTTTTCTCGTTCAGCAATGTCCAGGGCCAGCTGGATGGCTTTCACCTCGGCAAATTGACTCGATTCACCCTCTCCTTCAGCAGTTTCTGCAACTTGTCGTCCAGGACTCCATACAGCTGCCTTCCATCTCCGATGCTTTCCCACAATACGGCAAGAGCCATCAGTAAACAAGGCATACTGCTTTTCACTTTCTGACAGTTTATTATATGGTGGGGCCTCTTCAGCACGCACCACCTCCTCCTCTGGTGACATTCCGAAATCTTTGCCCTCTGGCCAGTCCATGATGACTTCTAGAATGCCTGGACGACTGGGATTTCCTATTCGAGTTCGTTGTGTAATTAGTGCAGCCCATTTACTCCATGTAGCATCAGTTGCATGATGTGTAGAGGAGACCCTGCCTTTGAACATCCAGCCCAGCACGGGCAGCCGGGGTGCCAGGAGGAGCTGTGCTTCAGTGCCAATCACTTCCGAAGCAGCTCGAACCCCTTCATAGGCTGCCAGTATCTCTTTCTCAGTTGGGGTATAGCTGGCCTCAGATCCTTTGTATCCCCGACTCCAAAAGCCGAGGGGTCGACCTCGAGTCTCCCCTGGAGCTTTCTGCCAGAGGCTCCAGGTAGGACCGTTCTCCCCAGCTGCAGTGTACAGCACATTTTTTACATCTGGTCCGGTTCGGACTGGTCCAAGGGCTACTGCATGAACTATCTCGCGTTTAATTTGCTCAAAGGCTTGTTGCTGCTCAGGGCCCCATTTAAAATCATTCTTCTTCCGGGTCACATGATAGAGAGGGCTTACAATCGAACTGTAATTTGGGATGTGCATTCTCCAGAACCCCACTGCACCCAAGAAAGCTTGCGTTTCTTTCTTATTAGTTGGTGGAGACATTGCTGTTATCTTGTTGATCACATCTGTGGGGATCTGTCTACGTCCATCTTGCCATTTTATTCCCAAAAATTGAATCTCCTGTGCAGGTCCCTTGACCTTACTCCGTTTTATGGCAAAACCGGCTTTCAGCAGGATTTGGATTATTTTCCTCCCTTTCTCAAAGACTTCTTCCGCTGTATCGCCCCACACAATAATGTCATCAATGTATTGCAGGTGTTCTGGAGCTTGCCCCTGTTCCAGTGCAGTCTGGATCAGTCCATGGCAAATGGTAGGGCTGTGTTTCCACCCCTGGGGCAGTCGGTTCCAAGTGAACTGGACACCCCTCCAAGTAAAAGCAAACTGGGGCCTGCACTCTGCTGCCAAAGGAATGGAGAAAAATGCATTGGCAATATCAATCGTGGCATACCACTTGGCTGCTTTTGACTCTAGTTCATACTGAAGTTCTAGCATGTCCGGTACGGCAGCACTCAATGGTGGTGTGACTTCATTCAGGCCACGATAGTCTACTGTTAGTATCCATTCTCCATTAGACTTTCGCACTGGCCATATGGGGCTATTGAAGGGTGAGCGGGTCCTGCTGATCACCCCCTGACTCTCCAGTCTACGGATCAGCTGATGGATGGGAATCAGGGAGTCTCGGTTGGTGCGATATTGCCGCCGGTGCACTGTTGTGGTCGCAATTGGCACTTGTTGTTCTTCAACTTTCAGCAACCCCACAGCAGAGGGATCTTCTGAGAGACCAGGCAAGGTGGACAGCTGCTCAATTTCCTCAGTCTCCAAAGCAGCAATACCAAAAGCCCACCGGTACCCTTTTGGGTCTTTGAAGTACCCTCTCTTGAGGTAGTCTATGCCGAGGATGCATGGAGCCTCTGGACCAGTCACAATAGGGTGCTTTTGCCACTCCCTCCCAGTCAGGCTGATTTCAGCCTCCAGCACAGTCAACTCTTGGGATCCTCCTGTTACTCCAGAAATATAGATGGGTTCCACCCCTTGACAGCTTGATGGCATCAGGGTACACTGTGCACCGGTATCTACTAGAGCCTTATACTTCTGTGGGACTGATGTGCCAGGCCATCTGATCCACACAGTCCAGTAAATCCGATTGTCCCCTACCTCCACCTGGCTGGAGGCAGGGCCCCTCTAATGGTCGTCACAGCATTGGACACTTAAGTCGTGTTGAAAGGGATTATTCTTCGTTATCACAGGAGCTGGAGTAAAATCAGCTCTTCCACTCCATCTGGGAAACTGCTCACCAGAGACTGAAGCCGTAGCTCTCATGGGACGATCAGTCTTGGCCCTTGCTCCCCTCTTCAGTTCACTCACCCGTTCCTCCAAAGCTGAAGTAGGTTTTCCATCCCACTTTGTCATGTCTTCTCCGTGATCCAGCAGGTAAAACCATAGGGTACCCCGTGGCGTATACCTTCTGTATCTCCTCTCTTGAACAATAGGACGTCTTTTGTTAATAGCTGAGACGCGTGTTGGTACACGTGAGGAGCTGGATAAATCAGATACATCGTCCCTCAATTTGTCGAGGTCCTGGGACAGTTTTTTCACAGCTGAGATGATGGAAGGAGTGAGATTGTCTTCGAACTCTCGGAGTTTATGAACCATTTCATCCACTGTTAGTGGTACTATGTCATTCCAGGTCACTGTTGCCAATGAATGGGCATATGATGACGGTGCATTCCGTGTAAGTTTTCGCCACATGGGTCGTGTACATTCAACTTCATCTGGATCTATAGGTGTATCCCCGTTATTCGGCTTGATGTGATAGATCATCTCTACGATGGCCGATTCCCTCAGAGACTGGATGCCTTTGTCTATAGTAGTCCACTTGGCCGAACGACTCGTAACATCGTCCTTGTACGGAAACCTTTCTTTCACAGCTGCCAAGAGCCTCCTCCAAAGGCTGAGGGACTTTTTCTCTCTTGCAATTGCTTTGTCAATTCCCCCTTCTCTAGCAAGTGATCCCAGCTGCTTGGCTTCTGTACCTTCTAGTTCGTGACCATCGGCCCCATTGTCCCAGCATCGGAGTAACCAGGTGATGATGTGCTCCCCTGGTTGACGGGTAAAATCTTTTCGCATATTCCGCAGCTCGGTTGAGGTCCGAGGTCGAGAAGTTACCTCTTCTTCTTCTTCTTCGTCATGTGAGGATGACTCCTGATCAGATTCTGGACCGGGTGGTGAATTCATTGGTTCTTCATCTCGCTTCACCCTTTTTGCCTCCTTTTTGCTTGTTCTCTTGCGTACAGGGGCAACCGATATTGGTACGAATTGGTCCTCTGGTTTGGCTGCAGTGATTATCACTGTGGTTTGAGTAGCGACTGTACTTGTTGCTGGGGGTGGTGTAGCTACCGTGCTTGGAGCTGGGGTAACCGCGCTGTCTGTTGCAGTTGAAGTTTGAGCAGCTGCTGTACTTGCCACTGGGGTAGCTGCGCAGTTCATTGCAGCCAAAGTTTGAGTAGCGACTGTCGCTTTGCCCTCAAATCCGACGACATTCTTTTCCTTTTGAAGGTGCTGGATAGTGTTGAACAAGGCCCTGTAAGCATAGGCCAAGCCCCAGCACGTTGCCGTGATTTGTCCATCTCTGGTATGGCCAGAATGACCACACACCTCATTTAAGTGTTTTACTAATTCTTCTGGATTTTGCAGTTGTTCGGTAGTGAAATTCCAAAATACTGGGGGGGCCCACTGACCTAGATACTTGCCCATACTATCCCACACACCCTGCCACTCATGGCTGTCCAGCCTCTGGGAAAATCTCTCGGTCCTCCTACCTTTGAGTTCATGAACATTTGATAGAAATAGTAGTAGATTGGGAAAATGAAAAACAAGAAGATAAAAGTTTACCTGAAACCCATTAAATACTTTCAGAGAACATCTTTCTAGCATGGAAGGAAAATATGTACGTTTTGGGAAACATACAGGAGCGTGTGTCACAAAGATGGAGGGAAGAAAGAAAAGGAAGGATGGAAGGAAGGCAGGGAGGAATGGAAGAAGGGATTTCAAGGACAGATGGAAAGAATAAGGACAGAAAGAACAGAAAAGTTGAGAAAGGGAAGTGAGGGCAAAGAAAGCAAAGGAAGGAAGAAATTAAAAGGAAGGGAAAGGATGGAGGGAAGGAAAAACTTTGGGGTGCAGTCGCTTGTGCTGTTCCTGCATTTCTGAGAACCTGGAGACCTGTAATTAACTGAATACTGATTTTATTCTTTCATGAATAAATAAAAGATCCTTTCCTCGGAAAATACAAGCTACACATGTTTTGACAGATCCCTTTAGTTCACTACTGAAAACATCAGCCATGTATTTGCTATTAAAAGGTATCAGAAAGGAAATATTTTTAAGACACGAAAGCCCTTTCTAAAGTGACAAATTGTAAGACAGAATAAGAGGCTTTAGAGGAGAGGTTTTAATACTCACTTTCAACAGAGCTGAAAACATTTGGTAGGGTTTGGTATTGTTTCCTCCATTATCTGTATGGTCAGAATTTCATTTAATTTAAATAGCTTTTTGCATAACATAGAAGAACATGTCTCCCTTGGCCTCTGAAGAAGCCAGCTTCACAAACACAAAGCTTGCTGCTGCTGCAGCGTGGGAACCAGCTGGCAGTTTGGGTTTCTAAAAAGGTCTCAGGGCTGCGTCCAGCTGAAGAGCCTGCCTTTGCTCAAGAGGCAAAATGGAGAGCCATGGACCTTGGAAGATGGATAACTTTTGGATACATGCGTCTGCATTAAATCAGACCTGAAAACAGAATGTCTTCCTCAGTATACACCCAACATAACTGCCACGAAAAGTGTTATTTGAAAACAAATTGGAGCACGCAACTCCCTTCTGCCAGCCCAGGGGCATGCAGTCCTCCATACAAGGTCTGTGGCTACAGGCATGCCTTAGTAAGAGAGGGGAACTTTCCTGGTTCCTAGTTTTGGGGCTGAGCAGAAAAAATGAGCACTTAGAGCTATATAAATTACATGGAAATAGCTGCTGAATACTGTTTCCTCCTTACAATGTCTTTGTCTACCTATAATTGCCAACAATGTGAAACAAAATTATGCCATCTAGTTCGGCAGTTGCACAGACTTGTCAAGAAATGTTGGCACCAGATTACCCGGGAACTCCCTGTAACTACGCCCTTGCAAACAACATAGGTATGTCTTTGACACTGGTGCAGACAGGCAGAAAAGCGGTGTTTGCAATACTCCCCTGGAGTCTCCACTTTGCTGGCATCATGGCTGGCTCAGATGGGGCTCCCGGGCTACCTGATCTGCACAACAGGCTATGACTGTGGGAGAATCCGACAAGTCTGAGCAAAATGTTACTAAATCTCATCTGCTTCTTCCTCTGCACTCTGATTGCATCAAATTTCACAGGTAAATGGCTAAAATATCTTCTGTTGACTTAAGATGAAGGGGCTGTCCTTTTGTTAAACATACTGCTACAAAACTGAAGTCAAATAGTATGAGGTCAGGTACTGAATTTTAATTCTTTCTCTAAAGTTAATACTAGAATAAGCAAATGAAAAAGGCAATACACAAATTCTGCATTCTGCAAGTCAATTCTGAAATCTAAAGGGGAGTCTCAGTTTGAAGGATATTCGTAATATTGTAGTTTTGTCTGCTTTTTTGCTGTTCTGTGAGAAGCTGAACTTTCAAGTCCTCTTAATGCTTATCAGTTTGAGCATGGGGGATGCGCCACCTGTGGAGTAGATGTAGGGTCAGAGAGGAAGGGTATAAAGTGCTAATAGCTCAAAAATGTTCATTGAAGGTCTCTTTACCCTGAAAGGAGGCTGTGCAATTTGTGTTCTGCTTCTCCAACTAAATGCTAAGCTCCAAACCCACCTCCTGAAAGGAGTTCGACCTTGGATCTCCTGACTATACTTCAGTGTCTTTATGATGGTCAGTCCTCTAGAAAACAAACGTGACTGGCCAGTGTGCCTGGATTTTGCTCAGTTCTGTCTTTCTTTCTAGATGTGCCATCTTAGCTTCTGAATTAAGGTTGTGTCTTGCTCCATTCTGTTCTCTGCCTCAGAAAAACAAAAATAGTTTTAAAGCTTTCTTGGCCAACAAAACACAACAAAACATCATTAGTTATAGTTCCTTGTTGCTGGGTATTGAAACCACTGACTCAGCATCAGGTTGCTTATGCTCTCAGTTTCTTCTGTGGAATACAGATGATTATGACAAATGCTTTTTAGAAGCTGCCAAATCAGGGCTGCCGTTCTTTAAAGAAGTTTAGTTTTTTTTTTATTGTGTTTTTCTTTAAGACCTAGCTAGCTGTGTGATGTTTCTGCACAGGAGCCATGTTGCCTCTGTACGTAGTGACTGCCAGCCTGGCTCAGCTGCTTACTCATGCAATTTTGTCTTCTACACTGTGACAGACAGTAGGAGAAAAAGATGAGATAACTTACACTGTGTCCCCCATTCTTTTGGCCTTGACCTGAAATATGAAAGTTTGTGTCGTAGTCTGCTTGTTGAGCAAAGAACATGTTGACTGAATGTTTATGTCTAAACCTGCCCCTGTGATTGCGCAGAGGTTGCGACAGGTCAGGAGACGGCATGTTCGTGTCTAAGCCTGGGAGTCCAGGCTTTGTATCCCATGTGATGGGAAGAAAAACAGGCAAGGGGGTACATACTGACTGTTTGCAGTCAGTTTGTGCAATTGGGATGTGAGAGAGGGGATGTTCCTGGAGTTGTCAGGTTAGAGGTACATCCAAAGATATTGTTTGGCATGATTTATTGTTGTTGTCTAAAATGCTTTCATTTTCACCACTCAGCTTGCATAGAAATTTCTTTAGCTTCATGGGGTGTTACAGACATTTTTTTCTCATCACCAATATTTAGAGTTCAGAATTCCCTTTTCAGATTCTCGTTCACTGAAGTTTCCTCATTGTCGTGGTTTAAACCCAGTCAGGTAACTTGTTCACTCACTCCCAGTGAGTGGTGCCAAGCTGACAACAATCAAGGTCCGTGTTCGTCTCCCCCCCCCTCCCTGCACCGGGGCTCTCCCCTTCCCCGCTCCCGGAGGAACGGGGAGGAGGATCGAGAGAGTGCAACTCCTACGGGTTGAGACAAGAACAGTCCAGCAACAAATCACTACCGCTACTATCAGCTAAAACAATGATAAGGGAAAATAACAAGGGAAGAGAATACGATACCACCGGCCAAGAAAACGAGTTCCACCCGGAAGCTCCTGTCCTTCCGGGCAACTCCCAGTTACCCCCCACCCCGGGCATGACGTGCTGTGGTATGGAATACCTCCCCGGCTAGCCCGGGTCAGGCGCCCCGTCTCTGCTTCCTCACAGCTTCCCCTCCTCCCTGGCAGAGCATGAGCCTCACAAAGTCCTTGGTCAGGGTAAACATCACTTAGCAACAACCGAAAACATCGGCTTCACCAACGCTGTTCTCAAAACTAGAAGTCAAAACACAGCACTGCACCAGTTAACACAAAGGAAAAAAACATGACTGCTACTGCTGAACCCAGGACACTCATATACAGAGGCAGACCACGCTTGATGATACAAGAAGCTGGTGACATTGTTGTCCTCCAGATTTGGAAAAGGAGATTAAATGCTTGGAAGTTAAAAGCTAATGCTTATTAGCACTACAGTAAGGAAGGATTTCTCAGCCCTATGTATAAAATTTTAAGGGGCATGCCAGAAAAACCACAGGTGTTGTAAAGCGCTTCTGAACACTATGCAGTGCTGATTCTGGAGTTACTTCTTGTGTTTGTTTAGCCCCTGAAAGGAGAATAAAGAGGTAATTTTCTTAATATTTTGCAGTGTTTACTGACATTGAACCATAAGTAGTGGTGATAGTAGTGAACAGTAAACTAACAGCAAAAAATGATGGAGTAGTAGAGATGAAATATTATTGCATTCTATATTCACAGAAAAAGAAGGGCATAAGAATCTGTCCCAGAGCAATGGAATTTTATCAGGGTTTATTTAAGGCATTTTTAACTGAAAAGTATATCAGACAAATGTATTGGACTTGATAATGAATTTTAATTTTTTTTTTTTTTAAATTTTAGATTCTGTAAGTTTAACACAAAGGGGAAAAATATTAAACAAGAAGTCATCACCAGTCTAAATTGAAATCCATTCTTAGTGTAGCAAACAAAATGTAGTATACTCCTGATAGATTGGGAGGCAGAAATGCTATTTACAGAGAAAATCTGGACATGTCTTTTCTTTGGCAAGACTGGAGATGTTAGGGGAAGAGTCAGTACCTTGACTTGAAAGATGAGCTTGGCTTTTCCTGTGAGGCATTTACATATTGCTTGTGAATCCAAAATCAAATGGAAGTTGCACACAGCCCTGGGCTAACAGCCTTCTGGGTCCTGCCTGCTCTCTCTGTCCATTTGTCTCCTGCACTTTGTATATTATTTCTTCTCCTTTCAAAATGTATAGACCACAGATAATGGAGTATTTCAATACTAGGAAGCATCCTTCACTGTTTATACTCTGTGCTTTCCCTGTTTATATAACCTCAAATTGTCTTTTCTCCCTGTGTTAAACACGTTTGCTTACAATTGCCTTGTGGGCTTTTGCAACAGACAGATTGGAGAAATGACGAATGTAATTTGTTTGGCTACAACATAGGATATGCTGTGTCTAGATCAACAGCATTTTGGAAGAGCATAAAACTCTTTTCCAAACTACAGCTTTCAGTATGGGTTTGGGTCCCAGGCAGAGTGCAAGGAAGTGCATCATTGCTTTTATTGCTCAGTAACCCCATTTAATTTGTGTGCTGGATGAAAAGATCTCAAGTTTTAGCTTTACATCTTTATGATTTACTCCTGAGGGCTGCCCACTGTATTTGGAGTAGGGCATGGTTATGCAGTTACAAACGTTCTTATACAAACAATCAAGTAAGACATACTAAAGCTGAATTGCACGTTTCACTTTAGTGTATTTGTCATTTAATTTGTCATTTAATTATTTAACCTTATGAGCACAAAATCTTATACTTTTTACATGTAACAGCTGCACACACATGCAGGTATATGTCTACTTATGCCCATACAGATACCTGCTTCTGTATTCTTTAATTATGAAGGGTTCTGTAGAGATAACATTTCCCTTCATCTGAAGGCAGATGTTCAAATTAGTGTACCCTTCACGTGAATTATACATCCATAACACTATACCTCACCACCACCATCTCACCTGTAGTGCTGGAGACTTTGCTTTCCCATACTGAAGTGCAAACACTCCAATAGCTGCTGTGTGATCTGGCTTTGCCACAGTAGATATGTGGCCCTGTAAAAATCAAGAAATATGCTCTGTAGATAGCATAGGTGAGTATTAGGTTTTTATTTATCTTATTTTTCATGGAGAAGAGTTCTTACAAGTAGCAGAATTTGTGCTTATCCTGAATCTATTAATACCAAACGGAAAGCTAAATCAATGAACTTTTTTTCATAGAGACAGATATTCTGAAATAGAGAAAATATTCTGAAACACTCCAGCACAGCTCAGCCCTGTTCAGACATGATCATTGTGTGTGCTGAGTCGTGGAAAAAACAGTGTCTGATCACATAACTGAAGTCCGTTACGTAAGTCACACACTTGAGTATCCCAAAGCATACAAGAAAAAGTGATGGCAAACAATCTAAATGTTGGGAAGCATAGAGAATACTAGAGACCAAATGGGTAGTTAAGCTGCAGAGTGAAGGTCAATAAAGACAAAAAGTGTCTTGAAACTAGTATGGACCCCAACAAGCCAGAAGTGCTGGTATGGCAGCCAGTGATTCTTCCGCTATCTAAATTGCAAGAAGGAAAGCTCCACATCCTAGAGATAGCTGACGTTTAGTTTAAAGAATAGCTAAGCATTGTGTTAACAGATCCATGTAACATGCCAAAGAATCGTAAAGAGCTGGCATTACTGATTTTATAAAGATATAAACACAGGGAATAGTCTAAAAGCAGAAAGAACACCAACGTTCTTATGCTCTAAAATAACCACCATGAAAATGTTGCTCATGGACTTGTCAACCTGGTTTTGATCCTGAGTAGAACAACTGACATTAACTGGTTAACTTTGTAAGCACAGTTTAAAAGAAGACACCTTCTTTTAATGGCAGTTAAAAACTAATGAAAGATAGGCTTTGTTAAATGAAATAGATGTCATTTAAAAATAATTAGGAAATAATCCTTGTATTGTCATGGAATGGTTACCTTGTTTCTGGGGAAGTGTCAAAATGACCACTGCTGCACAGCGCTGGTTGAAACTGCTCCTTCCATTCCTCCCTTCCAATGGTTCCCTGGGAGCCATTCCCTGCTGAACAGAGAGAACATACTTTACTTGTGACTGGAAAGTAGCAGAATAGAGATAAGTCTGTTCTCACAGTGTAGTGCAGGGCACGCTCATTGGGATTCCTACCTTCTGTGAGCTGGTCCAAACACCGTTAAGGATATTACATCAAGATGCCATAGAATAAAATGACCTACACTGTAGGTACCATCCCATATGCTTTGCCAATCTCATCATAATGTAATGATTTCGTTTATAGTCCATTAAATAAATCAAAGAGGTACTCTGATTACAGCCTACAAGCAGTTAGATTATTACAATCCTGCAACATGAAAAAAGATGTACAAGAGCTAAGATCTTCTACAGTGTCCAGTCCAGTCAAGTCTGGAAAGAAATAACACATTTCCAACCATGACATTGGAAAAGTCTATAGAGTGCAATAGAATATCTGTTACTTGACTTCATTAAATCAAATTGAACAGCGTTATAAAAGCTTGACTTGTTTTACTGATACAGTGAAAAGCTGAAATAATGAAAAGATGTGCTTTGCCTTTCTATAAGCCTAGTTGTTCTGTCATTTGCACGTTGGTTATCATTTCTTCTCTGAAAAAATTTTTCCAATGCCGAAGTGACAGTAGTGAAATAAAGAGTGTGTATTTCTAATACAGTACCACATGGTTTTGTGGTACTGTAAGCTTTTTCCTAGTACATTCATATACATTCATATATCTTTTTTATTTTTATTTTTTTCTTTTTCTGGGAATTTTAGGTGAAGATGCTTTGCTGCCAGCACCTCAGAATATCTCTATTCTTTCTACCAACATGAAACATTTCTTATCTTGGAGTCCTGTGATTGTCCAGGGAGAAACTGTGAGATACTCTGTTGAGTTTCAGGGGTAACTTCTGTTGTTCTTTGTTCTTTGAACACTGTTTACTTAGACTTAAAATTTGGCTTTTTTGGATGTCTTCAGCACTATTCAGTTCTTAGACATAGGAGAAGTTTTATGCTCTAGATGTTAGTTCATTACAGGTGGGGAAAAAAAAGTCCTTTTTCTCAAGTTCTGAGACTGTTTACAGGTTAATAGATACTAGAGTAATCCAAGCTGTGCATTAAGCCCAAATATTAAAATATCTGGGCATTAAGCCCAAATATGAAAACTGCCTCTGCCCAGAGAATTCAAAAGTTAGGAGGATTAGCAACAGTTTATTTAGGAAAGGAGATTTATTAAGTGTTCATCTTTTAAACATCTAACACATTCTAAGAGGTTTCTGATCCATCTTGAGCTATGACTTGTACTACAGTATAGCTTTGGAATTCTAGTTTACCAGGGATGATCAAGTGAAGTGAGTGGGCAGGATCTGGGGCATCAGCACTGTGTTGGCTATCCCCACCTCCTACATTATCATGCTCCATTTGACTCATGAATGAGGTGGCTCTGGGAGATTTTGTCTAGATAAGATCTAAACTACACCCATACTGGTTTCATACACTCCTGGTGTTCCAGCTCCAATGCACCCCAGTACTGGTTTTACCTGGAAAGAACTAGAAAGCAGCCTTTGACTATGTTACAGATATTTGTCCTACCAGACTATCGCCTGTTTGTTTTCTTTTCCTCTCCTCAGGGAGTACGAACGAGATTATGCAGATGAGAGCTGGATTCCCATCTGTGAATGTTCACTCACCACAGCCACGGTGTGCAACATCACAGAGGATATCTCAGCCACTGTGGCCTATAACCTGCGTGTAAGGGCAGACATTGGCACTAGAAGATCAGAGTGGGGCACCCTGAAAGGTTTCTTCAATCGCATCACAAGTGAGTCCTGCTGTTTGGCTTAGCTACGTTGTGTTAATTTCTCAGTCTGGTGTTGAGGGATTGCTCATGCATATGTTTATGTACTGTGCATGACACACAAAGCCAGTGAATGCACAAAGCACATCCTGCTTCTCAGTTTCTCTCATTTTGGTTTGGGACATTTCACTCTTAGTCCTACTGTGTTCATGGACATAAGTTCCTCCTGAGGCAGGGCCAAATTTACAGGGCTTGAATCTCCAGGGCTTCTAAGACAGGTAAGAAAACATTTCTTTTGGCAAGTTGGCTACTCTTGCCTCTGATTTCAAAAGGTTCTGATCAACCAGGGTTGCTGTCAGTGCTCCATCTAATCCATGTCTTCTAGTCACTTCTGAGAGTCCAGAACCTGATCCTATGGAAGCACTTACTCTAGAAAACAGCCATGTCACCCTCCATCTGCTTCATGCTGTCCTGAAAATCCCAGTTCCTTCCAGACATGATTCCCTCCTCCCATGTTGTCAGATATATGAAGTGACCTCAGAAGAGGAAAATAAAAAGGAAACTGTAACATTGCTGCAGTCCTAGCAATGCAGGGTATTTTGTCCATATCCTTCCAACCCCTGCAAGCTTGAGGTCTAGCTCAACCTAAGGATCATGTTGCAGCCTAAAATTAGCATGCTGTTTCCAGTGTTTCTCTGGAATCATTGCCTATGTTCTCTGCTGTGTAGTCAACTGATTGCAGCGATAAAAACTGGTGGAAAACCCCTGTCAAGGTCGCTATTGGAGTGGAAGTCTCAGTCTGGGATGGGCAGCAGTAATCAGTTTTAGCCAGGAAAGAAATTGCCCGTCCGAGATCAGAGCTGACCCAATCTTAAACCTTCATCAGTCGTTGAAAATTATATACTACTTCATAAGTCAGCAGTCCTCTCTCTTACAGAGCACTTAATCAAAGCAGCACCATAAGAAGTGCCACCTAAGCTGGTAAGCGTGTCTCTTGGTGTGGAAGTCTTTTCCAGATAGTGCTTTAGATGAAAACTCCTTCCCTTTTCTGAGATCTCTGGTGACATAGAGTTGAGCCATGGACCACACCATCAGGCATTTATAGGGAAGGGTATTCCTTAGCTTGATCCTCTTAATGAAGAAAAGCAGCAACTTTCTTATGGTATGGTGAAGTATTTGACAGCTTAGTCTTGTGTCTAAGAAACCTCAATACAATCTTCTGTCTAAGCTGTGAAAGTTCAGAGCAACTACAGCAATGGGCTGTAGTATGAATGCGCATCTATGTACAAGTATTTAAAGGAGAAAGAAAAAACACTGTAAGTTCTTGTCCTTATGCATTTTTACTGCTCGCTTTTCCTTGCCTCTGCTATTGCATCTCTTAGGAAATGTGAAATTACGTCTGAGAGGAACTAAGGAATTCAAAGCACAGCCCACTGATTCTGTATGTAGCTCATAGACAGTAAGGGTATCAGCACAGCCCATAGTACTTGTAGTCTAAATAGCTCCAGTGTCAAAGCCTTAGATGTAGATACACATAAATTATAGTGACACATGGAAGACACTTTTAAAAGACCTTCATAAAAAAAAAACGATTTAGTTATGTCTCTCTTCATTTATCAAAATTCCAATAGTTAGTTGGTATCCAGTGTGCCAACTTAGAAATAAATCTAAATGCTTCTGTTTGGTTAGTAGTAGCATCTTGCAATATTCATTTGTTAAAACATTATCCCAATATTTGTTTTTAACCTCCAAATGATGTTAAGACTTTTTTGGTTTGTTTCTTTCTTTGTTTTATTTTGAGACATATTGTTAAGCAGATTCTCACCTTTCAATTTGAAAGTATAAAGTAGTTTTCCAGGTGTCCCATTTGCGGCATGCTCATTATGAATATATTTGTATTTTATCTTTTCATATTGCTCAGTCTTAATGGCAATTCACTGGATGTAAGAGCAAATTCTATTAAGAACATCTCTTCTGTATGTGGCTATACATTGCTCTCCTTCATTTCTTAAAAGCAAGGGAGTTAAAACCAGTTTCAGCCACAATGGAATGGTAAAGAATGGCATATATAAGTAGTGCAGACATGATCTTTGTACTGCTTTGATTCCCAGTTCACAAATGTTCAGTGTGTAGTTTCATTCATGCTTGATTGATTCTGATTGTTTCACTAATACTCTTCACAGCAGAATCCCAATCTGAACCAATCTTTGAATATCAAAGTAAGCATGAAGCAAATAATCTGCAGATTTACTTGCATACATTTACAAAAACTTAGTCACATCAGGTCATCACCTCAAGTCTATCTAAAACCATGTAGACACTAGAAGAAAATCAGCATTCATGTGAATTGCCAGAGTTACAGAGTTCCACTGCCAGAGGATCATACTGCTTTTTCCTTCACATTTGAATAACTGCCAAAATTCCCATGAAAAAGCAATGGTTTCACACCTCCTGCCCTGTATATTAGTGCTAAGCTAATGCCCAGGAGCAGAACTGGCCTGATCTGGTGTCTTAACTTCTGGTTATCCAGCTGGTTCTGCTGCTGTTGTTCACACAGGACTCTTAGGCCAGATGCTTCCTCTACTGGAGAAAATTCAGAAGCTTTCAAGTTCTGTGCAACTCAGCTGTTGCCAAACTCCCATTTGCAATGCCAGCCACGGTCACCCTGTTCAAACTCTGCTAGTGTATCTAGTCACAGTGAGAGGCAGAGCAGAGAGAAGCTTTGGCCCCACTGAAGCAACTGCCTATTATTTCAGAGTAATGTTACTGTGCTCATGGCGGCAGCTTCTTTCCCTCTCCTAGCTGGGAACAGGACTACTTTTAAGGATTGCCTCTAATGTGATAATGGTGCTCTCTCTGTGTTGGCAGCTTCCCTGACCCCACCTCTGATGAAGGTCATAGCAGATGGCTATCATTTATTAGTGGAGCTGGAAGACATGGGGCCAGCCTTTCAGTTCTGTGTTCTCTATTGGAAGAAGGGCCAAGAGAGTAGGGTGAGTTTTATCCTTGGGTTTTGGGCAACAACAGAGAGCCTACATACTTAAAGTGAAAGCATGCATACATTGCCAGGGCCTCTTTGCCAGTCCAAACTCCTTATGTGAGGCTGAGGGACATGTCTGGAGTCAATGTGTGCCATATTCCTCTGCACATACCAGTGCATTGGTCTTACCTCTGTGGAGAAGCTTGTGTCTTCTTTCCACATTTCCTTCTCTGGGAAGAGGAATCTCCTTCAGGGACCTCAATCATTGAAAGAAACCAGAAGGCAGGAACTGAAGGTGTTTATGCTGACTTTCTTCTCTAAACATCATTTGGATTACTCAGACGAAGATTAACATGTCACACCGAGGTGGCAACATTTTTCTCAGGGTTTTTTTTGTAAAACAGCTTGCCTGTGACAGTGAGCTGCCAGTTGCTTAGCTCAGGGCATTGCTTATACCTGGGTAATACTGAAGCAGTGACAATTTATGCTCCATTCAGGTCCTTCTGTTTTCACTAGATGTTAACATTTTTTTTTCTCCTGGGAACTTGTGCTTCCACAGCACCTCAGAACATAAAAGCAAGAAATTTCAGCAGCTGTATAAAGTAAGACCATGAGACCATCAAACCCAGTGTTTTCTCTCTGCCAGTGGGCAATAGAGATAACCAAGAAAATTAATAAGGAGAAAGCCTGTGTGTAATTACGCTCAGGTTATTTTCTGAGATTTCACAGACACAGCTCCAGGAAATTCCTGAACCAGAAATAGTATCATTAATAGTCCTTGATGAATTTTTGTTCCATTAATTTATCTGTTGTTTTCAAGTTATGTAAACTTTTAGCACATACAACTTCCTGTACTCAGGAATTCTTCAGCTTAACTGTTGTGCAGTCTTAATCTTGGTTTAGGGACAGAGAGAGAGAGAACAGTTATTCCCTATTCATTTTCCCTGCCACTCTGAATAGTTTCATATTCTGTATCTTCTTCCAGGCCAAGGACTCCCAGGCCACTTAGTTGCTTCCTGTGGAAGCCTTTCCAGCTATTTTTGTTTTTACCAAGGTGGTTAGGGAGTAAACCTGCACAGTCGAAGGTGCAGAAGCCCTATACAAGTCTCCACATTCCCTTATTTCCCCAGCAGTTGTTAACAAGGATGACTACCACAGAGCTGACTATTCCAGAAAATCTGAACCCTGAGTTCCTGTTTCTGATGAGGGATGATCAATTTAAGGAACACTCACTGACTGTAAAAATGAAGGGGAAAAATTCTCATGGGCACAATTTAACCAGGTTGGACAAAGCTTCGGGTGACCTGGTCTATGAAGCGTCCCTCCCCATGGCAAGGGGGTTAGAACTGGATGATCTTAAGGTCCTTTCCAGCCTTAACCATTCTACGATTCTATGACAGGCACAACTCCAACATAGCTCAGACTGCAACTGAAGGTTCTGGGCTGAGTTTAATGGGGCTTCTGGGCCATGGACAGGAGGGTGAAGATGGGGGAGCCAGGCAGGACTGGTCAGGGCCGTTGCAGCCTGGTTAGTGCACTCCAATGCCTTTTCATCCCACGGCTGTTGGCTTAACAGGCTTTTGAAGGAGATCTTGACTACCTTTCGGAAATTGAAGTAAACAAGATCAACCGTGTTCGGGCTTAACAAAATGTTAACTCTTCTTCAGCGTATGATATTAATCACCTAAGCATTAATTCCAAACTTCAGAACAGTTTCTAACTACTGGACTGTCCCAAGCACCAGGTTTGCTGGTTGCTACATGTCCAGTTCTCTGCTGGGACTCTTTTAATTATTTTTTTTGCAAGAGGTTAAAGACCACACATAGTCACTGACATTATTTCATCCTTGAAACCTTTTCAAACTAGTGGGCCTCAAGATCACATTTCTGTGGAGAGGGAGATTTTGATGGCGAGAAGGACTTGCCCTACCAGAAGAGCCCTACTGGTTTGTTGGAAGTATCCATATGTGTGTGTAATGCTGGAGGCTGATCAGGCCTTCTGTGAGTGCAGGCTTTGCATCTGAAACACAGCAAAAATTAGGAGCTACTAGTTAACTGTTACCTGTCCTCTCTTGACTAGGGAGACTGGAAATACTGACTTCTTTTTGCTAGCAGTTAATGGAGTCCTATTTATTGCAGGAAAATAATGTGCTGGTGTTCACATGCTGTTTAAGGGTTGCTGAAGTGTGTTGCAGTTGCACACACTAAATTCACTTGCTCCTCACAAGCCCAGTCCATCCCCTCTCAGTGCTCTAGAGTTACAGCAGAGCTCTCACACCCCTGTCACAGCATGGTTCTGGCAGTCCTATCATATCACACTAACACAGGCGTGATTTTCATATCCCAGCAAAAACTTGGACCAGTCAAGATCTTAGTCATCAAGTCCTTACACCAGGGGAGTAGGTCATAGTCTAGCATTGTGACCCAACATCACCATTATACCTCTTAGGCTCACATTTCTGTTTTTCCATCCCCTTCAACCATGTGTGTGGTCTCATTCTGCACTCCACTGTGCTTCCTTGTTTGCTGTTTTTCTCCCTCTCTCACACCTCCTGCTATTTCTTCCCCTTCTCCCAGTAAAGCCTGGGCTAGCATCATGTCAGGAATCCTGTTTACAATTAGGTGTTTGCCCTGTCTTCTGATGCTCTCTCCCCTGGGCTTGTGGCAGATGCAGCGGAAGATGGTGAAGGAGGTCAGCTCTGTGGTTCACCTGGACACCATGGAGGAAGGACCTGATTACTGTGTAAAAGCTCAGACATATGTTGAGGCGATCAACAGAAGCAGCAGCTTCAGCCAGATACAGTGTGTGAGGGCACAAGGTAACAGCCACCCTTCTTTCCTATTCCCCTGGTTTAGTCATGCCCAAGGACACCCCAGCAGCTCTTCCTTTTATTTCCACCCAATACCTCCTGTCTTATTTGTAAATGTGCTGCCCATTTGTTCCTTGGGGAAGGAAAAAAGAAAGACTCATGAGGACAACCCGCTACACTGGCACAGGTATCTTTCCCTGGAGTGTGCCAACAAAGGATCTCACCAGGGTGGATAGAAAGATCAGCCACAGAGGGTGCAGGCTGACTGCATTGAGTGGTTTATCCTCACAAGGTTTGCCTCTCAGAAGTTTTGCTGCTTCTGTTATTTCTAGGTGGCACATCCATGTGGCTGGTCACTGCCCTCCTCATATCTGCTGGCTTTGCCGTGGCTGCTTTGACCCTGTCTTTCGTTACCTGGAAAACAAGCAAAATCCTTCAGTATTCCTGCTGCCCTGTTGCAGTCCTGCCAGACACACTGGTAACTTTTTTTACTGTGTTTTATTGTTTTTTTGGGTGTTGGATATTCACAGGAGCATGAAGCAGGCAGAAAAAGTAAACACATGCACAAGGTGCCATGCTCATTCCAGTATGATGAGCTGAGCTGCAGGGGTCAAGCAGCCCACATGAGCTGGCTGCATGGCTGTCACTGCCTTTGGTCTACAGCCCTGATTAGGGAAGATGCTCCTGATGCTTGTGGGGAAGCAGCTTGGGAGGCATGGACTGTCCCTGCTGACCAGCTGCTCCCTGAACAAAACAGCTGTGTCATTGGCAGCACTGCTCCATGTCCCCTGCTATCAACACTGAGCTTCTCAACAGCTTGGTAAGGAGAAACAAATCAAAAGCAGCCTCTTTTCTCACTCAGGAGAAGCATGTTTGAGACAGGAGCTGAAATGTACTGTCCAGTTCAAGTGAGAATGAAGGAAGTAGCTTTTGTGGCTGCGGGTTCCTGAGCACTGGGTCTGCATGCAGTTGTGGCAGAGAGGAACAGTTTGTGGGGAAAAGTGGAAGTCGTGAAGGTGTTTGAGCGAACACATTTGTTTTGCAGAAAGTATCAGAACCCCCAACCCAGCTGATACTGTGTGGCAGTGAAGAAGATGAGCAATGTGATCTGATGGTGCATGTGATACCCTCAGAAGAAGTTCTCCAACTGTGGATTCAAGAAACACTTTAGATCTCATAAAAAAACAGCCTGTGGAAACAGATCTTGTAAGCAGAGCCGGCAGATGGTACCCCAGCCACTTTCCTCAGAGTGCCAATGAGTAGCATTTGTGTCTAAAACCTTTGTGCCTAAAAACTGCTGCAAACCAAGTGATATGAGTGTGTGGCCTGCTCTGTCCTTCTGTGTAGCATCTTCATCCATCTGCATAAAAAGCAAGTAAAGGTCACAGGTGACAACCACTGTCTTCTATAGTTTATCTTCATTTCCATGCCCACAACCAGATACGAGTTAACTCACGTTCACTTCTGTCAGTTGCATCGATAGTTCCAGGGCAGAGACCACCCTTTGCCACCAGGATTTCACCAGAGCAATGAATGCAGAGACCAGTCCCTTTGTTCCAAACCATTACAGCCTCATTATTTTTGCCTTGATATTTTAAAAAGAAATTAAGCAGCCAGTAAGAGCTTGGTTAAATCAGCTGGAAAGAAACTGCTTTAGGACTGCAGGCCCTGACCTGAGGTTACACTCATTTAAGAGGATGCTGACAGTGACTGGACACAACATAACAATTTGCTGCTTGTGGCAGATAACCATGTATGGTGCCAACAAAACACAGAGACAGACCATGAGGGGCAGCTGGGTTTTACCAGTGCTTGGTGGCAATAGATGTAAGAAACAGCCAGACTTCAAAAGATGGGTGGAAGGATCTTTGAAAACCATTTTGGGGAGCAAAGCTTTGCAAGCCCAGCAGCACTGCTAATATTATGTAGGTGCAAGATCACCTAGTCAGGGTGTCAAAACCATGAATTCATATGGGCAACAGATGTCTTTGCACCAGGAGGCACTGAGCACCACATGTATGGATCAAGCATCACAGCATTACCATATTAGTGACCATTCCAGGCCTGATGTCATCATTATCTTCCAGATATCTTGTCCTTTTAAGGGACAAAATTGTTCCTTAAAAGACAAATTCATTTTAAATACAAAAAAAATATTTTTGTTGCGTATATTGCAATTATGGCTGTCACTTTGAAGAAAATTAACTTATTACCTGTGAAGTGAAGACTTGTGTTAGGAGGTCATGAAAAGACTTTGAGCTGAAAAGCTTTTTTTAAAGCTGACACCGGATCTAATGAAATGCAAGACCTTCCTCGCAATATGCCGGGGTTTCATTCTTGCAATCTTGCATCAAGCCATCAGGTGGCAATAAAACACCGTGAAAGAGGTAGAAGTGACCCAGGGCTGCCCATACCTCTGCTCTCTGTAGGCAGTCCACGCCCTGGTTCCTGGCTAGCGTTACACTTCCGTATTGTAGCCCAGTGGTTTGTTTTATTCCTGTCCCACTAACATCTGCCTGGACAATATTAGGATATAGTTCTTACGCGTTAAGTAGTAAGATTGGTACTGCTCAATATGTAGCAAATTGCAGGGTGAGAAAATCTGTGAAAATCTGAGCATTGAAGACTCAGAGTTGGTTTTAGGTTGACAGCTAACTGGGAATGCCTAGTTGCCAACACCCATACGATGGTGGGCCCTGATAAGGATTTCTGTGAGTAAAGAGGAGGAGGGCATGTACACGGGCTGATACGACAAGTCCTGAGGGACCCAGCAGGTCTTGTGCCCTCCCTGAGCTGAGTTCGGGTGGCAGCAGGAGGCAACCAGTGACTGGCTGATTCTGGCAGCAGGCACTAGTGAGGAACAGTTTTGCTGAGGACAGTCAGTACAGAAGCGCTCCCTTGCAGGGCTGTGGGCTCTTGGTTAAACATCCCCTTCACTTTGCCCAGTGCTTGAATTTTCGAGGCATAGCTCCCCATTACAGAAGCCTTGGTAGTAAAGCTGGTTTAGAGAGCTCCTGAGCCTTGCATTTATGCTTATTTTATTCCCTATTGATTTGGATGTGCTCAGTGTCTTGCTTTCTAGTGTGCCCACAGGGGTGTCCCATACGGGAAAATGTTCTGTTACTTCTCCATTCCGTGGCTATAGGTCTGAAAAGCCTTAGTAGTTCCTCCAATCTCTTCTCCCCTGACATAGTTGCATCATGGCAGTACCAATTATTTAGGGATACAGAGTAAAGCAGGGAAAGAAAAGGCCCTTGAATACAAAGGGCTTTTAAGAATTTTTCTATTGCTTATTTTCCAGCTGCATACTAAGTATACAGTATATGTTTGTTTCTCACTTGCAACAACAGATTTTATGCCCTTCCTTATTGCCAATAAAGCAGTTAAATGGTCGTACAAAACTGCGCAGACAACGTTAAACAAAAGAAATACCTGAAAAAAAATCTTAAAATAGGGAGATGAAATGGAATTAAGTGCTGCTGCTGTCTTAGCAAGACCATATTCAATTTGCGACAGGATATTCCAGTTTGTGTCTGTGGAGACTTGGAGCTAAATTTTGGATGCTGATTGAAAGTCCCTGGAAACCACCTCACTTTGAAGTATGTACTGCATTTTGTTAGGCCTGAAAATCATGGTATACAACAAGAGCAATTCCTTTGCCATCCATGTACGTAGTAGCCTGGTAGCATTAGCATAGGCAGCTGCTCTCAGCCACTCTTTTTAGTTCATTTCTGTGCATTCCAAGAGTTAACCATGCCTTAGCAGTCATGGCAACAGCTGTCTTTCTTTGATAACTGATTTTGCTCCTACAACCATGATACTACACATCAAAACAGGACCAAAGAAGAAACAGCAGTGAAGAGCAACATGTGCTGATGAACTTTGCTCCGTTTCTTTCTCTTGATGTGGTCATAAATGGCTCTATTTCTTTTGAAAATGCACTGCTTAATTACTTTCCTCAAAAAATGTTGAATGAAAATAAAGCACAAACCTGCATCACCTTTCTAGTGAGTTTTATTCCTGTGCTGCATGTAACCCCGCAGATGTGATTCCGAAAAAAAACAACTTATTCCTGAAGACTTTGTAAGAACAGAAGGAAAACTGATAAGTCTGGTTTGCAAAGAAAAAAATGATTCAGTCTATTAAATGCAGACCAGCATAAAGACTGTTGATTACATGAACATTTTAAAAGAGTTATGTGATACTACTGGCTTGACAAAAAAGCAAGGAATTCAATTATCTGTTCCATGACACTAAATGGCTGGAATAGAGCCTAATTCTTCCTGTGAAGTATATTTTCTTAGAAGTACATTAAAGTTTGTAATTTTTACAGACTGATATTAATATACAGTCCAATTAAAACTGAGATCTTTAACTGAATAAATTACCATTTAAAGTATTTTCTGCATTATCACGTTTTGTCTCTTTAAAAGTTGTCTTTTTTCCTTACAAAATCAAAAAATAAGCTAAATTACTACTTTGACTACAAATCGATTCAGTTTGTTGTGAAGGCAGTACCGTATCCTGAAAACAAATTGCTACAAACGTATTAAACATCTAAATCACTGCAGATAAAGATATCTATTCTTTAAAGAGTTTATGTGCAAATGATTCTGTTATTATTGACGTAAAAAGCTGCAGAAATAAAAATTACTCAGTTCAGGTCTCTTGTGGTCTTTTCAATAAACAGAACTATAAAAAAATCAGAAATTGCTAAATTGAGGTATAAAAGGAATTAAAAGATGGCAAGGTTAAGTGAAATTGCCCACATAAATACTGCTCACAGAGCCCTAGGTTAGTTTCATTCAGTGTAAGGGCTATAATTTAGCTATTACTACAGCAATGGCTCCTTCTGGGGAGTTTAATGTCCGTGGTTCACTCAGGATCAAACTCAGACCTTCATTAACAGCTGAGGACATGCTCTCACAGTGCAGGCCAGCAGACAGTGAGCCTACCCCAAAGGCATCCTGTTCACCCCTTCAGCTGCAGAGAGAGGTTTGACTGGAGCTTGCACTTTCTTTACGGATCTTCAGCATTGGAATAAAAGAAGAATGAGGAAACTGCCAGTCTGGACTTCCCTGATGTTAACGACTTACTTTGCCTACACGAAGGTCTCCTGTGCTACCCTAGAGTCTGTCATTCCTCACTATGGACCCAAGAGGAGAGCAGTGGCACTGCAAGGCGAGGCTGTGGGCAGCAAGGTGGGAAGGTTTGCTATCACCCAGCATTGGCGCAGCTCCCCCAGTGACTGGGGCTGGGACCAATTGCTGAGCAACCTTGCAGTAATGGGGCTGGTGAATCAGGACTGGAGCATCAAACATGGCCAGGGCTACAGCAGAGCTGTAAAAACAACCAACCTAGAGTCCTCTCCCACAGCAGTCTGACCATGGGTGATATGGGTGTATTGTATCAGAGACGGTCTTGGGCACAGGCCCTCCAGCCACTGACCCCAGGGGGTTTACCAACCGGGCAACTATAAGCAAGCTGAAGGACCTTTGTCTTCATTGTCCCTTGGGACCATAACAATATTTGATTATCTTTTTTATTTTTACATTATCCTTTATTTTTTTATCATACATCTGAATCAAGAGCATGAGGCCTATTTAAGGACACAGCAGAGAATTAAAGTAAATACATTTCACCTGTCAAAAAAAGACTTTAGAAAGATCAGAGAAGTGTTGGCATGGTGAAACAGCAAGGTGAGGGATAATAGTGGGAGCAATAAGGCATCCTTCAAAACCCTGAAGTCATAGCCAAATGAGAAAAAAAGGAGGAAATCACAATTTCTATCTGATTAAATGTAAATGCACAGTAAATCAAGGCAAAAAGATTTTGGGATACAACTTCCTACAAACATCTAAACTAATAATAGATCCTAGAAATGGGACACTTGCCAAGGAGTCTTCAGGGCCACATGATCAAGTATCAAAGGAGCTCTCAACAAAGTTCCAGCAATGGCAGAAAACCAAACTGAATTTGTAACAACTCTGCTTACTGTGAAGGAGTTTATGAAGGTTCCCATGCTGAATCTTTATGTCTGAAAGCACAGGATTACCTTTCACAAGTAAATGTGCTTGGAATGTTTGTACATTAGGACCAAGATGGACAAATTACTCCAATATTAAGCCTGGAGTTCCTGCATGTTGGTGGGAGATTTAAATACTAACTGTGGTTCATAGGTCCTCATAGGATCCTAGGATAACCCAGGCTGGAAGGGATCTCAGGAGTTGTCTAGTCCAACCTCCTGCTCAAAGCAGGGTCAGCTTGTGTCAGATCAGGCTGCTCTGGGCTTTATCCAATCTGGGTTTGGAAATCTCCAAAACCAGAAACTGCACAACCTCTCTCAGCAATCTGCTCACCTTCTTGGCTGTCCTCAGGGTGAAAAACTTGTCTCCTTAAGTCTGGACAGAAGCACTCTTGCATTATACAGGGCATAATACTGAACCTGTCAAAGGTCCCCAGTAGTTTTGATCTAGGTTTGAAGTTAGCTTGGAGTGGGGTGGTGGACTGAAAGAACTCCAGACAGCACACCCAACCACAAATATTCTATAATTCAAGTTCGGCAAAATTATTTTAACTGAGTACTCTGTATCTACATCAAATTATGCAGTC